TTTTGGTGTCAGTCAGTAACAACAGTGGGCCCTTTGCTTGGGCTTGTGGCGGCTGGAGCAGAGTGCGGTGCCTTGCTGAGGAGCTGCCCTGCTGCCTCACCAGCCAGGCCTGCACATGTGCCATGTCTTGTCCTGATGGGGACAGATGGAAAGGAAAACACATGAGAAATTGCTCAGTAGGCTCGGTGACTATGTGAGTCTCCCAGTTGAAATTTAAGATTAATTTAGGTGCCAGAAACGTATTTTCTTTCCTCATTAAGGATGCTGAGTAGATAGTAAGTCTTGGCTGAAACAAATCACCAGAGGAATATAGGCATTTTTTGCTGATGAGCTTTGTTTTTTGTGGCTTGGTACAATAGCTGATCTTAGCAGGGGAAGGGAGTTGTTTTGGTTTTGAGTCGGTTTGTTTTTCCTTTATATAAGGCATGTAGGTACAGGGATAGAAAGAGGGTAGGAACAATGCTGCGTGTAATGCATGCTGCTGTACATTAAGGAAATCAGTGGAAGAGTAAACCCATACCTGGGTTATCATGAATGCCCAAGATCCCTGTTTTACACAAAATGTAAACACCTTTGATAGCTCTTTCCTGCCCAAAACAAATCCGATGGGAAGGAGCTGGAGAAATGGAAATGGCCAAGAAAAAGCTTATTGAATCACTCTGAACTGAACAATCGCTCATTTGCTGCTTGTCTCCTTCCAGGCCCCTGGCACTGCAGAACCCCGAGTCACGTGCTGGGAAGCCTTGCTGTTTGTCCTGGCTTGTCAAAACAATTTAATGTAGGTGGAAAGGAATGAATGAAATGAGCGGAGTAGGCTTGATGCATCTGTTTCAGTTTGTTCAAAGGGCAGCCCAGTGATTGGGATGTGACACTTAGGTCCTCCAGGGAAGCTATCAGTTTAGGAAGAACAATGCTGTCCATTTTATAAGGCAGTTAAATCCATTTTAGGAAACAAGCTCTCCTATGGTTTGACAGCTTTATATATTTTTAAAAATATTAGGGCTATATGTGCTCAGCATGTGCCAACTGAGCTACTACAGGAATGTGATTTGCTAACTTCTAGATTTAGGACTTTGTCTTGTCTGCCTAAGGTTGCTTATGGTTAAAAACTACTGAGAAAGGAGAGAGTATGTCCATTTTAGAATTTTATTAGTGGGAATTCCAAAATGATTTGGTCTTTGAAGGATAGGATATCAAGCTGTGTATTATTAACTGTTCTTAAAGTGCTGGCTTCTTTATAAAATTGTTCAAGTTTCCTAGGCTTATGGAAAACTACCAGTGAGTCTTCTACTTTGTTTAGTTTCTGGGTGTTTGATTAAAAATAAAATCAAAGAAATCAACAAAAACATTAAAATTGTCTAACTAATCTTGTACTTGGTGAAACTGGAATGTTAATCTGTGAAGCCTATATTTCTGCTTTCAAATGACAACAGCAAATACGTGTGGAAATGATCCATCTATGTACCTGTTTACACCATGAGTTATAGGAAAAAGGCTGCAGGGGATAAATCTGCTTATCTGATTCACACTTACAGTAATTGAATCAAAAAGAGGGCATATTTTGAGTGATTGGCCACAGACTTCATGACATCTTTAGAAGTGGAGATAGAGCTGAGGGTGTTGCAATTCTGCAGACTCCAGCTCAGAGGCCACGGTGGATTCTGAGTATTGCCCCCAGTAGCTGCCTTGCTGGAATGACACTTCTGGGCTTGAGAGTCCTTTGGAGTATGCAGTTAGAGCTGAGGACAGTGAAAACTGTTCCCAAAGTCTTGCAAAACGCTCTTTGAAATTCTCACTAAGTGATGATGGCGTCTTTCTCTCTGCCACGCTGTACAGCCACTTTCTGGATTCCATGTGATGCCCAATACTCTCATTCCCCTGCTTTTCCTGAACTGTTTATACCTAACACGGCTAGTAACATCTCAGTCTCCCAAATTACATACAGCACTCTATTTCATTTGCTTATTTCAATATTTTTGTAGCTGCAGCTGCTTAAGTTGCATTTTTGTACAGGCATGAGGTGAAGTTGTTGCTTTTGCCCATATTAACAGCTCAAAGGATGCCAACATGCATTTGGGATGGGCTCTAGTCTGCCTCTGTGCAGCCTGGGAGATCTTGCTGTCTGATATTTTTAATTACTCAGGTTTTGAAAGTGGACATGTCATTTTAAATTGTATGTCGGCCTGCAGGCCAACTGTTTGCAAGTTGCATTAGAATGTAATTTGTACAGCTAAAGACGGGTCACTGTGTATACAGACTTGGTAGGTATAATTGTACAGGAGATCCAGTATTTTCCTGAATGTTAGGGCTGTGGGTTCTTTTAAAGTATATTGACAGTCTTCTGTAACCTAGCATTAGTATTCCTTTAGGAGAAGAATATAAAAAACCTGTTTTGGATGAGGGTGTGGGTTGAGTGTCCAAGGAAATGAGGGTAGTAAAAGGTAGTATGCATCGCTGGGCTTAAGAAACAAGTGGCCTCTCTGTCTTTTTCTTCCAGCTCTGTTTAATGTTCCCTTCTGCTGCTGCAGTTATGTACTGAAGGGTGCAGGGTTTCCTTGGTTGCAAAAACATTGCAGTGTTCCTGGGTGAAGGTTTTTGGCCTGTGCTTTGTCCAAACTTGTCGCAGATCACCGGGGCACCGTGGCTTTCAAAGCAGCGTTGTTTTATTCGGTCTATTGCAGGTCCTGGTGGGTTTTTAATGCCAGCACTGAGGTGCTGAGTGTCTGTGCTGAACGTCACAGCTGTGTTTGCAGGAACATGGTGCTGCTGCCCTGGATGTGACCAGAGAGAGAAATGAAAGGTGTGGGTGCCTCTGCTCATTGATAAGAGTCATCAGAACTTGTTGGTTTCTAGCTGGGGACAGCAGTACATGGGAAGGAAAACTGAATAAAGCCCTTAAAGGAGACTGGGTTATGTGGATTAAAATGAGAATGAAATGAAATATACTTGACTTGATGTTAAATTTAGATCTAAACCAGGTTAACAGTGTTTGTGGTAGATAACTTGTTAGTATGCACACAGTAAAGAAAATGTAATCCAAGTGTGTATCTAAAATCTTGGGTTTGGACAAAAATGAATGCAGGTGTTCATATTGACTATTTAAAAGTGATAGAAGAGTGATTATTGCAGCCTTTTTTATATAACGACCATATATAAAGCTCAATTTACAGCTAAATACAGTGGTTTAAAAAAGTGAATTAAATGGGTCAAGTGCAGAGGCTGAGAATAGTGCTTTATTTTCCTGTAGGAAAGATGATATTGTGATTGTGTTGTTTGAAGCACTGTTGCTTAGGAGTGTGTGTGTATGGTCAGCTGTACCTCTTGCTGCTCACTGCTTTTCTGTCTCACAGCAGTAGAAAGCAGCTAAGATGAGGTTTGAAACAGAGCTTGTGCTGCCTTGTTCATTGTAATGAAAGGAAAGCTATTAGGTGGGTAAGACAGCTCAAATGGGAGTACCAATTGCATATGAAAACCCCTGCAGCACCTAAGCAGACACGAATGCTCAGTTGTTGGAGTGTTTCTGCAAATCAAATTTTTGCTACATCAAAACTCATGCAAGTACGCTTATGAAAGAATGGGAAGGGGTGGCAATGCTGTTCTGCAGAGTGAAGGAGTTGTAGGATTGAATGCTTTTTGATGTCTGTAGATTAAATTAGTCATACTTAAGGATTTTGCGTTTTCCTAAGAATTGTAAAGGTGAGTGACGTTCATAGATGCCAATAGGAAATCCCTGAGGTATTTCAAACCTGTTTTCAGACTTTTACCTGGGGAAATTGTATCCTTCTGAAAATTGGAGCTTCATCTGAAAAAGAAGTTTGTCCATGCCTGAAAATATCCTATGAACCTTTTAGAAGAAGTTGATGATCTTAGTGAATGTAGAATGGTTTAGATATTACATGGCTGAATTGTATGGAGAAAACACATGACCTGTAAACAAAGGAAGAGGAATTACTGTCTAGAGGACAATGGGAGCATAAGTAAATCCCTGCATGTTTTTACTGCCTCCTTGTAATGGAAAAGACAATGTGAAATCAAGTGACTTAAAACTAATACTTAGATCTGACAAACAGGTCTTTGGTTATTGCTGAATAACTGTTAGAAACGATGCTTCTGAAATTCTTTGCTTTAAGTATATGCTGAAATATTTTGGTTTTTTAATGCAAACTGGCTATGGAGCCAGTTTGTGCCAGTCAGACTGGTGTGAGCAGTGCATTGGTCAGCTGAGGGCACTGCATGGCACAAGGAGATGTCTTCTCTGAGATGTGCTGCTCGCTCAGGTAATAGCTGCTTGGAGTCCTGGTGGTAGCTGATAGCCAGCTGTTGGTAGGTAATGCAACAGGATGGTCCAGGAATGCTTTTTCCTCTTCTGTCTCTGGCCAAAAGATTGCTCTCTGTCTCTACTGGGAGTTTTTGGTTTTGTTGATGTGAGATTACAGGAAACTTGCTCAATGATGAGGTTCTGCTTTTAATCAAAGAAAACCCAATTCATTCACTTGATGGTCTACAGCTCCAGGAATATACTGTGTGTTAGCAGAGATTTGATCTTAACCCCCTCTATGGGTGGCTCATCCCATCTGTTACCAGTGGTCTGCGTAGACATCCAGGAGTAATGAAAGGTTGTTGCTGTGTACAGCAGGAGAGGGAGATGCTTTAAATGATCTGACTGCATTCTCAAACACTGAAGTGTTCAAGACATTATGTCCCCATTCCACCCCAAGTCAGGCAGCAGCTGAAGTTATTAAGAATATAGCAGGAGGAAGCAGAAAGAAGAGTTAATCTACAGACCTACAGTCCTTAACCCTGAGAGCAGTAGAATTATAAAGAACAACATATTATAAAGTATAATAGGATGTGTTCAAAACAGAATATTTAAAGGTAATTGCAAACCAAATGGCATTTAAGACACCTGATTCTTGTGTGTACCTAACTGTTTTCAAGCTGCCGCCTCTCGATGAGAAAATAAAGCAAAACTTTCTGATGCACCTTTTCTTTTCCATTAGGATCGGAAGCTGTCCAAGTCAGAGCGACAAAGATTTAAAGAGGAAGCTGGGATGCTGAAAGGGCTTCAGCATCCCAATATTGTCAGGTTCTATGATTCCTGGGAGTCTACAGTCAAAGGAAAAAAGTGTATTGTTCTTGTGACAGAACTCATGACGTCTGGAACATTAAAAACGTAAGTAAATGAAGACAAGTCACAGCGATTCCGTTTCATTAGCACAACAACAGAGCACCAGAAATTGGTGCTGTTTAGAGTGGATGACAACAGAGCCCTTTTGCTGAGGGATAACCTACTGCAGGAACACTCTTGATAAAGAGGAGCATTATTAGCATTGTGGGTTTGGTAGAACATTTTTTTAAGTTAGCAAGCTTGTAATTTCTTACTTGGGATGTCCCAGTAAGCGCATGCACAAGACCTCTGGACTTCAAGAGCTCAGGAAAGCAATACTCAGTTTTCACTTTTTCACAGATTTTTTTTTTTTTTGCCTCCAGCTGCTTTCCATTTAGGATGAGCTAGTTTGTGAAGTTGAAAGCTCAGTGAAAAGCAGAGTGCAGGAGCTGCAGCCGCTGCGAGGGCCTCTAGCGGTGTGTGGGGCTGCTGGGGGCTAGGGAGCCAGCTGCCATCCCTGTGCTGGGAATGCTGGCCTGGAATAACGGGACTCTGTCCCTCTCTGCCATCCCTGTGCTGGGAATGCTGGCCTGGAATAACGGGGCTGTGTCCCTCTCCTGGAGCTGTCCTGAGCTCCAGCTGCCATCCCTGTGCTGGGAATGCCGGCCTGGAATAACGGGGCTGTGTCCCTCTCCTGGAGCTGTCCTGAGCTCCAGCTGCCATCCCTGTGCTGGGAATGCTGGCCTGGAATAACGGGGCTGTGTCCCTCTCTGCCATCCCTGTGCTGGGAGCAGTGCTGCAGCCCTGCAGTGAAGGGGCTCTGCAGCCTCTGCTCCATGCCTGGCTCTCTCTTGGAGAGAAATCCCCCCTGGCCATGGGAGCAGGAGCAGTTTGCTGTCCCTGTGGCTGAAACAGCCTGTGAGTGGCTGTGCTTTTCACTGTGCTCATTGATGGCTACCAGTGCACCTTCTGCAGCAGGAAAATGGCTCTTTGGGACTCTGGGCTGCAGTTACAGGGAGGTATTTCTCTTGGAGTAGCACTGGATGGCTCAGGATACAACATTTTCTAGCTGTGTTTATCAGCGGAGACATTGCTCAGGTTGTTTAAGGTATTTCAGATAAAAAGTAGATCTGCTGCTTCATGTGCTGTTTTCAGTCAAGTAATAAGTTAATGGTTTTGCAGCTCTGTACAGATGCCTTTAAATAAAGTTTACCTAATTTTCTGCTGAATGTGTAGTGCTAGATTTTTTTTTTCTCCATTTTTTACTCCTTTATCCCTCTTAACAGATTTTAATATTTGGATTGGCTTGTGTGATACAATAACTAAGATGAAGTAATAATAGACAATTACAAAGTAAGGTGTTGGTAGGAAGAAATACCCCAGGTTTTCTGTCTGTGGGATTATTTTGTACCTTGAAATAAGAAAGCTTTTTCATTTAATCCAGAAAAAAAAAATGCTCTTTAATTGAAGATCTTTTAGACTGTAGAGTTCTGGCTAGGGTTTTTCCCCACTCTTTTATAGCTGGTGTTATAATTGTGATTTAGTTTATTCTAGTCCACTTACTTAAGACTTGACAGGTAAACTGTATGGGAGATTTCAGGTGTGCCTTAATTATTTCATGTGCTTGTGGCAAATTCCTAGATTTACACTGTACAATTGTGTTTGCATATATTTGACTATTACTTCCGTATCTTTTTTTTCAGTATGTTTACATTACCTGCATTTGATAAAAGCAATGCCTTTCTTGTTTTGGTACTTGGGCCATAGACATTGTTGCCACTTGATGTAAAAAAGTGAACAGAATACAAGTGTGATGGTATCTTAAAGGAAATTTTCTCTTACCTTTTTTTAGTAAGGATTCCTATAGCTCCTTGAGCTGTGTGTAACTTATTACAGAAACTTAGACTGGAAACCTCCTGAGGTCTCTTCAAGCCCAGGTTATTTTATGGTAGTAGGAAAAGTGAAAACATACAGGCTAGTAGGCTTGTCTATTTTTGTGTATTTATATTTGTTTCCATTTTAAATTGTTCTCTGCACTAAGTGACATGTGACTTAATTTGGGACAGTGTTAGGGAACAGTGACAGCCACACTGCACAATGCTGGGTGATGGTTGGATGCAGGTCCTTTAACAGGGAGAAGCTGGCAGTGTTCTAGCATATTTGTAACCAAGAATGTACTTAGGGATTCCAGATGCTGAACTGAAGTGCCCCTACCATGTGATCTTTGGAACAGGCTCAAGAGAGATGAATGAGGGTTGTGTCAATAGCCAGAATTCAAGTGGTAGCTGATGGATTCAGAACCTCCTTCAGCTTGTCTCCTCCTTGGCTTGGCTTTTCCCCTGCCTTTCTTTACATTCTGAGACCTGATTTCCTCTGGAGCTGTCTCAATTGCTTTTACAGATTTGTTTTCACAGTAGGATCATTCCTAGCAACTTCATTTTCCAGATCTTGTTTTGAACTGGAAAAATTAAAATAAAAGGGATGAATACACTGCATTTCTGTGTTGGAGCTGATTGAAGTGATTTTGGCAGGCTGTATCTCCTATTGAAGTGAATCTGCAGAAGAGACTGACCACTACCATGGAGTAATTGATCACAACTTGCTTTTAGTTTTAAGATTGCAGTTGCTGGATTCCATGTTGGTTACAGAATTTACCAGCAGTCTTGCTGTAGTGTGAAACTGGTCTTTATCTGAGACTCTGGCTGAGTAACATTGCCTGAACAAGAATAAAGCCCTTGCTGTATGCAACATGCTATTCTCTACATGTAGCCCAGCCCATACTTTTTCAGAAGGAACAAAACAGCTCTTCATTTCAAATTGTTACCCAAAGAGAGCTGGAGAGAAAACCTTGCTGGAAGGCACTTGAAAACTGTCAGAGGTTATTCACCTTGTGGCATCTCTAATCTGCTGAAGTTAAGTAACAGAATAAGATGGTAGTCTTAGGTCATGCATGTTGAAAAAATATTTTTGGTATGACATTTGACTCTTCTGCCATGGGGTTTCAAGGAGTGGCAAAGATAGAGCAGTTAAGGTTGGGTAGCATTCTACCTGCAAAGGAATACAGACTGGTATGAGCTCTTCCACCTCAGCTATTGGACAGAGCCTTTTTAAAGGTTTCTCTGCCCTCTCTGTGACTGTCCATAGTTTTGAAGTAATGAGTAGTACCAGTAGGATTCAGGTGATCAAACCCTGTCCTGCACCAGGGAGGGGATCTCTGAGAATTTCTAATTTACTTGGTAACTCCACAGTTAAATTTGAAGCAGATTTAAAATGTAATGTGGAAACCTTGAACAGAGTGCTTGGACCCCTCCTGTAAACAAGGGAGTGCTGATTTCAGAGCTCTTGCAGTTTTCCACAGCTCTGTACTTTGTTGATTATTAACACTCTGGATCTAGTGACCCACCTCCCCACACAGTTAGAATTAATTGAGGTAGATGTTCTAAGTGTTTCAGAAGTAAAATAGATAAAGACCTGTAATGCACAAGCCCTGACTTATTTGTCATTGAAGTGGTACCTTGAAATTTAGCAATCCAGCTGTCTAATTACCATAGAATGATTTTGTATGCAGAGGAGTTATCAGCTATGTACACCAAGCTTTCACACTTTTGTTTCATCATTATAGTCTGCTGGCTAGAAGAAAGGGGATGGGTTTTGTAAAGGGGAATCATCTTTAGCTCCTCTGAAGTCCTGAAACACCCAGGTAGATTTAAAATAGAGGTTTAAATTTATACATGTCTTTAATTACTGTTTCTTTGCTTCCAAACAGCAAATGGTATAGTCGAATCTACTGTCTCTTAGCAGAATCTGTTTAACCTATTGTTATTTTTTTCATTAGGTATTTGAAAAGATTTAAAGTGATGAAAATCAAAGTACTACGAAGCTGGTGCCGTCAGATACTGAAAGGCTTACAATTTCTACACACACGCACTCCTCCCATCATTCATAGAGACTTAAAATGTGACAACATCTTCATTACTGGCCCCACTGGATCAGTCAAGATTGGAGACCTTGGTCTGGCAACCCTGAAACGAGCTTCTTTTGCCAAAAGTGTGATAGGTAAGCCTCTCCTGTTTCGGAGGCTGCTGAGCCAGCCTACCTCTTTGAAGACTTGAGTGTTTTAAGAACTTTCCCAAAAAACATGCTTACAAAGGTACATGGTCAAAGCCTGAAAGTGTGTAGGCTTTGTCTCTTGGTTGCAGAGGTCATTCTGTGTTTCTAATGCAAAGACATGGTGAAATTTTGGTTGTGCTTTTGTTATCTATATATTAACACTAGCCATTTCAGAATATGGAGTTCTTGTCCTGCCCAACAATTTAGTGCAACATTGTTGATAAAACCACTCTTTACTATGTATAAATCTTACCTTTGATGTGGTGCTGCTTCAAGAAATGTACAAATGCATTTTGGTGACCAAACAACATTTTGATATTTAGTGTAGCATTAGTTCATACAGCCAAACTTTTTTTTAATTGTCACCAGGGGTTAATATTGAATCCCTTGCAGCTTGTGAATAATCAGAAACTGAGGTATACCAAAGTCAATATTATAAATATGTATTTAAATAATAACACAGACTGTGGTGTAATGCCTTATTCAGGAGGTCTGTAGAATGTGGATTTGTGTGAGTTAGGAGGGTGCATTGGGAAATACTGCTTTATTCTGGCTCTGTCCCTGTGTATCCATTCATAACCTTTTTCAGAAATTGGTTTGGTGGAACTAGAGTAATTTTTCTTGTGGATTCTTGAAAGAATTGGTTTTATCAGCTTTGTTTTTATGGTTGGGTGGATAGACTGCAGGGAATGAAGTTTCTTTCGCTCTCAGTATTTAGAGCTTGCTAAAATTCAGCATTACTCAACAGTCCTGTGCCAGATTCCTAGCTGGGATCAATGGTGTATACCTGTAAATTTTCTCGCAAGCTGTCACTGAAATATTTCCTGCTTCTTAACCAGGTCAAAGTATTAATAGGGAAAAAAAGAATGGTGTTAAAAACCATAATTTCTTAAGCATATTTGTCAAATCTTCAAATTTATCACTGGAAAATTACCATCTGTTACATAGTTATCTGCTAATGATTAGCCTTTGGATAAATGACTGCAGTTACGTTCTTTTTGGTTTGGTGTGATGGAAACAAGCAATGGGCTGTAGTGTGATCTGTAAATTGTCTGGAATCTGGTGTCTGCAGGAAATAATTCTGTGCTTAAATTTACAAAAAGCAAACTTGCATCTCTGGCTTAAAGTAAATCTGATCATACAATGCAGTCCCTTTGTTTGCAGAGGGGATCTGTGATGCTTCACTGGGCCATAATTTTCTGCACACTATTCAAATGGGACTTGTTGAATCTCACGCTCTATGCCTGTAACTCAATCTCTCTGTATTTCTGAGTATTTTTGACTGTAGGATGTCCCTCACTAATGCCTGTATCTGCAGTAGGCCTATAAATATACTGCAGGTGGGAAGGTAAGTATATGAAGAAAAGGGCTCTGGTGAGTGGCCTTTGCAGAAAATTACCTTTTATCCTCTTTTCACGGCGATTTGTATTTGTAACAACAGAGCTTTTCATTGCAAGGCCTTACCCGAACCATTCTACTTGAGCAAGTAGATGGAGAGCACCAGTCAGAGACTAGCTGTGGGCTCTTACCAGTACTACTGCTTTTGCAGCAGAGGGCAGTCAGGTAATCTGTGAAACAAGCTTTAATGTGCCTCTTTCCTTACAGGGAGAAAAGGTAAGTGCCTTAACTCTCCTTAGTATTTGGTTTGCAGCCTATGGCTAGTCTGCAGTTTTTCCCTCTTCTCGTCCCCTCCCCTCCCGTTTGATTTCAGGCTAATCCAGTCTGTTCTGATATTGGTATCAGCTAACGTACCTAAACCAGGAATCGCATCAGATCTCACATGCCATTGTTATTCCACCAAGGCCTTGCAATGGAAGACTCACAAAGTGCATTGGTGCAACAGAGTCACTAAGGGTTTCCTCCCTCTTCTTTTTGCCTCCACTTTCTCTTGTCTCACAGGTCTGCCCAGCCGCGTGCCCCTGCGGTGAGTAACGCCAGCAGCCTCTGCTCGCTTTGAGACATTTAGAGTCTGAATCGTTCTTTTAATTTAAGGTACCCCAGAGTTCATGGCCCCCGAGATGTATGAGGAGAAATATGATGAGTCCGTTGATGTATATGCTTTTGGGATGTGTATGCTAGAGATGGCCACGTCTGAGTATCCTTATTCCGAGTGCCAAAATGCCGCGCAGATCTACCGCCGAGTGACCAGCGTAAGTCCCTCCTCACCCCAGCCCAAAGCTGCTGCTGCCAGCAGTGCTGTGCAAGTGTGTGCAGGGAAGAAGAGCTGAAAAGAGGTTATGTTGGGATGAGTGCTGGTTGAACTCGTGGAACATCTGTCCAAAGCTTGTAAAATACGTGAATGGAAATAAAATTGTGCATTTGTTCATACTCTTCTTTCAGTATGTAAGTAGGTATTATATAGGGTTTAAAAAAAATATATGAAGAAACCAACCCCCCCAAACCATATAACAAAATGCACTAGAATAATAACAGATTATTTTCTAAGCCACTTGGGGGATGGTGGAAGTAGTTCTGTCTGAAGAGGAGCTGGTAACCTTGTTCTCTGCAATAAAGCTGGATAACAGATTTGAGCACTGGCTTAGCTGCCTGCCAGTTACCTAGAGTGATTTTAATGGTTTATTGAACTCTGAGTGGTCCTTAGCTCCTGTGTTTTGGGGCACTTCTTATTATGATGAAGTGGAAACACTTGATAAATAGCAGGAAGCTATTCCACCCTGGTAAGTGCTGGGCAAGTCTAGTGGTGGAGGCACTGTGGGAGGAAACAAATACAGCTGAGAAGGCAATCAAGAGATTAGAGCTGGCCCATCTGACCAGACTGAGGGGAACATGCAGACCTTGAGTGTAGGAAGCAGAAATGTGCAGCATTGGTGTGGTTAGATTTAATCTGTGCTATCTGAGGCGTGTTGTGAAGACTGTACCAGTGCAGTGAAACAAGCACCTTCAACCTTGTGACCCAAGCACTCAGAACAGTGAGGTGGCTGCTTGGGGAAGTGAAAACTCTCATTGCATTTCTCAGAATACCTGTGCACATGTGCAGAGGAGGAAAAAACAACCCAGACTTACCTCTTCATCCATAGACAAATGAGTTCCATTAAACTTCTGTGCACATTATTTCAGAGAAGTTGCAGATTTAATAGCTACTTGCTTAGCTTTAGAAAAATAAAATGCTCTCCTGTTCCTGATGCCTCACACTGCAAAAGGCAGATATAACTCCTGACTTAGAGTTGGAGAAGAGTCTTTGTGTGAGAAGCAATGAATTCTGAAAAGAGGCTTGGTGTGAAATAAGACTATCCCATTTTTTCAGGGAAATATTGGAGTGGCACAGAAGAAGGAAAAAAAAGGCATAAGCGGTCACTTTGGTTTTTTTGCACAGATGTTAGAATAAGTTTTTATATACATATATATACATACAGGGTTGTTGGTTGTTTTGGTTTGGTTTCTTTTTGTATGTTGGCAAACTTACCTGTTATTTTCTAAATAGAATTTAAGAACTAGGCTAAAGGCTACTCCTTACTCTGTGTGCAGCATAATTGACCTGCAGGCAGCTGGGACCAGTGAAAGAAAGCTACATATCTTACTAGAACAGTCTCTGTGGTACCTTTTACTGTGCTTCTGGATGTGTCTTGGACAGAGCCAAAGCAGCAAAATTTGGATGGACATTGCCTAATGGAACTGTCCTCCCTGTTCCTTAAGAAGTGCTGGGAACTGGGCTGTTGGTGAGAATCAGCTGCTGAGACAATCTCAGGTTTGGAAATCCCCAGGTCTCACAGATCTGTCCTTTCCCCACTCTTTGAAGTACAGAACTGGAAAGCTTTGGGGCTTGCAGCAGGAAAAGTTAGCTAGAGACTTAGCAGGGTTCCACTTACCACTTGTTTCTTGTGTGTGCTGCTCCTTTCTCCCTGTAGTTTCTGGCTGACGGTGGAAATTCTGAGTTGATGAGCAACACTGGTAATTTTTTGGTCTGTCCCACACCACCTTTCATTCTGCTCTGCTGATGGTTCACAAATCAAATTTATTGGTTGATTTATTTTCTCAGCTATTTAATTTACTGCTTGAGAGCTCTTAAGATATACTTTGGTATGAAATCCAGCAGATCTTGTTTTCTTTCAGAAGGAGCAAAGGGCAGGAAGGTAAAGAAACTGAAATGTACATTGTCTGCTTTGAAAGGCTGTGTGCTTCGGTATATTTGGGGTTTATTTCAGTGGAGTTGCAGAGCAGTTTGTTCAAAACAAAACCAATGAAGCAAGATGTGAAGAATTTTCAAGGGAGGCTTTCAATGAAGCAAGGCAACGTTTTCTGGAAATAAATCACAATCCTGTTTTAACTTACAATGCAGGATTTGGTGTTCTATAAAGGAGAAAGAGACCTGTGTTATGAAAATGAAATAAAATACTCCTGGCATTCCTTTGAAGAGCCAGGTAGTTTTAGATGTAGAAGATTTTACAGATTTTAGAAGTTTAGACCGTGTGTGCAGTTGTGGGTGAGGGATGAACCATTTGCCAGATTCAGTACTTGAAAGGCCAGTGTGTGAACCCTCAGTAACAGAGTGGAGGCAGAAAAGATCCTCCTGCAAAGGTGACTGCAGCAGTTCTTACCAACACATCTTCTAATCTGTGTTGGAAGGTGTGTTTTGTGGAAGATGTTTTGTCTCTCCATTTCAGCCCCTCCATTGCTACCTCCCTGGAGTTTTTAGGAGTGTTTTGAGGTAGCAGCTACAGTCCTGCTGTGCCTTAAATTGAAAGGATTATTTTATCTAGGTGCACACAGAGAGCAGAAGGAGGGACAATAGGAATGGTCTGCTATGAAAGTCATGAAAAATTATACCATGTTGGAGCTTAAAAACCATTGAAACTGCAAAGGAAGATCAACATGTGCAGCCACTCACTGCAGGCCGTATGTATTTAAATTAGTTAATCTCCTTCACCCTCTTTGCAGGAACTATTAGGCTTAATAAAAAGCAAAGTTGCTGCATTATCTTAAATCCTTGCTGTTGCTTAGGACAGAATCCTGTAAAAGGTGTCTTAATGCCCAGATGTCCTCTCAGAACCTGTCGGTAACACCAGCTGTTTTCTCCCATTTTGGCTGTGCATTGCTCTCTTTTTTAGGGGGCTTTCAGCATGCTTTGTGTTTTGACCTGACACGTTTTGTGACAAGGATGGCCCTAGCTGATGTCCAGACACTGCAGCATTGCAATATTGCTCAGTCCTGTTCTACTTCTCTGGTTCAGGGTCTTTCCTCATGGTTAGAAGCAGTTTTTTGTTAAATAATACACCTTGGCAAGCACAGATTTAGAATTTGGATCTAAAGGCTGAAGTTCCTCTCACAGATGAGACATTTTTTGGCCCAGGCAGTAATTCTTGCTTCACATCTTGGACAATAGCATTGCTGCATGAGCCTGCTGTTCCTAAGATGCTTGTTTATACTGTCTACACTGTCTCACTGGGAAGTTCCTATATTTCCTTTAAACAGTCCTAGGATAAAGTTCTTGAATTTTCTCTGGCCCAAGAAACACAAGTGCAATTAAACTGTTATTCTGGATCACTTTATCTAGAAAAATTCTTTTAACAGAGTAATCTGGGTATATATATATATATATATATATATATATATGGCTTAAAAAACGCAACTGTGCAGAATTTGTAGGGCTCAAGGTGTTATGCTGAACTGTTTTACCATTCTGGTAAGGAAATCAGCAGTTTGACACAGAATATTGACCTGTTGGTACTTGCACCCTTTAGCATACTCAGTCCAGACCCTTTCACCAGCAGTTCCTTTAGAAAGGAAAGACATCTGCATGGCTTGTCACTCAAGCATAAAGGAACCTAGCCTTGCTCTTTGTTTTCATTTAATCACAGTGCTGCAATTCTGTCTCCAAACCCCGTTTTCTTTATTGAAGCCATCCTCTGCTGTTCTTTAGAAATGGTTCCAAATAAATTAATAGACAGTGCTTAGAGAAATTGCATCTCTTTGGATTTTTACCTTCCTGTGGAATGGGGAAATCTGAGCTTTAAGCAGTACAGCTGCACAGCTGGGACAGTGTGTCAGTGAGCACTTACTGATGCCTCCTTGGCCTCAGAAAAGAAACCATCTAAGCCTGCAATGAATTGATAACAAGCTGCACTATTGTTAAAGTACTCTTTCCCGCTCCTTTGGTTATTATTTTCCTCTGCCCTCTCGTGCAAGCACAGCTGTCTGTGTGGCATGCTGCTAGATTAGGGAATAGGTCCCCCTTTTTTTGTTTGGGTTTTTTATTTTTTACAGTTCTGCTCTGTAGCCAAGTAATGCAGGGAGTGACAGTGCAAAATGAAATCAAGATACGTAATTCTGTTGTGTACTTGCTTGCATAAAAAGCAAAACAAAAAAAAAAGAGCTTGGTAAAATTCAGGAGGGTTTCCCTGTCTTTGTTCTTCTCAGGAGACTGGTTCCTGTTCCATGCATATTGCAATTAAACAGTTTGTCACAGGAGATATTTAAAATGGGCTACACGTGCATTTAAATGGAAAAAGAGATATTTATAGAGCAGACATCTTAAGTATGATTTCTTAATATAGTCTGTTTGGGAATCAATGCAGGGAAGGCATAACTGACTGCAGTAACTTCAGCTGCTTTGCCTCAGCCTCTGGTGGGACCACGGAAACCCAAGCTGTTGCCTCAAAATCTCAATTTCTAATACTTGGGTGTCCCAAGGCTTAAATTTGCAAGGTGATTGACTAGTCCTAGGACTAGTAAAGACAATCAGTATGTTTATTGTGCAGATTTTTCTTCTTCGTGCATATCTACCACTGACATAAAAATCCAAGTATGTTCATTGCAGAACAGAAATATCCTCAGTTTGAAATGTAACAACCATCTGAGTAGAAAACTCCATTTTTCTTTCTCCCCCTCCCATCATATGAACTTACCTTGTAAGCTTTCCTGATGGACTTGTGCTCTGTACTTGATTTTCTCCACGCTTTCTTTAACCAGGTGAAGTTTTGTAGTTATCTTTTCTTTCACCAGAAGTCCAGTCTCTTCTCTCTAAACAAATTTCTGTTGTCTGAGCTGGCCTTGAGATGAGAAGGGGAAAAAAAAGAGCATTTGCATTTTGACTTTTAGAAAAAAGGTTGTCCTGTACTAAAATGTTCCACATCAGGCATAACATTTTTCTGTTCTCCAGAGCTTAAAAAAGGGCCTAAGGGAACAAGGCACA